TTGACCATCTGGTGATGTCCATGTGTAGAGTCTTCTCTTGTGTTGTTGGAAGAGGGTGTTTGCTATGACCAGTGCGTTCTCTTGGCAGAACTCTATTAGCCTTTGCCCTGCTTCATTCCAAGGCCAAATTTGCCTGTTACTCCAGGTGTTTCTTGACTTCCTACTTTTGCATTCCAGTCCCCTATAATGAAAAGGACATCTTTTTTTTGGTGTTAGTTCTAAAAGGTCTTGTAGGTCTTCATAGAACCATTCAACTTCAGCTTCTTCAGCATTACTGGTTGGAGCATAGACTTGGATTACCATGATATTGAATGGTTTGCCTTGGAAACAAACAGAGATAATCCTGTCATTTTTGAGATTGCATCCAAGTACTGCATTTCAGACTCTTTTGTTGATTATGATGGCTGCTCCATTTTTTCTAAGGGATTCTTGTCCACAGTAGTAGATATAATGGTCATCTGAGTTAAATTCTCCCATTCCACTCCATTTTAGTTCTCTTATTCCTAAAAAGTTGATGTTCACTCTTACCATCTCCTGTTTGACCACTTCCAATTTGCCTTGATTCATGGGCCTAACATTCCAGGGTCCTATGCAATATTGCCCTTTATAGCATCAGACCTTGCTTCTATCACCAGTCACATCCACAGCTGGGTGTTGTTTTGCTTTGGCTCCATCTCTTCATTCTTTCTGGAACTATTTCTCTGCTAGCATATCTCCAGTAGCATATTGGGCACCTACTCACCTGGGAAGTTCATCTTTCAGTGTCCTCTCTTTTTGCCTTTTCATACTGTTCATGAGGTTCTCAAGGCAAGAATACTGAAGTGGTTTGCCATTCCCTTCTCTAGTGGACCACATTTTGTCAGAACTCTCCACCATGACCCATCCATGTTGGATGGCCCTACACAGCATGGCTTAGTTTCATTGAGTTAGACAAGGCTGTGGTCCACTAAGATATGCAGATGACACCACCCTATTGGCAGAAAGCAAAGGGAAACCAAAGAGTCTCTTTGGTGAAAAAGGAGAATGAGAAAAGTGACTTAAAACTCAACATTCAATAAAGTTAAGACCATGGCATCTGGTTCCATCACTTCATAGCAAATAGAGAGGGAAAGAAATGGAAACAGTGACAGATTTTATTTTCATGGTCTCCAAAATCACTGTGGATAGTGACTGAATCTGTGAAATTAAAAGACACATGCTCCTTGGAAGAAAAGCTATGCTGAACCTAGGCAGCATATTAATAGCAGAGACTTCATTTTGCTGACAATGGTCTATCTAATCAAAGCTATGGTTTTTCTGGTAGTCATGTATGGATATGACTCAGGTATTGAACTGACTCATTTGAAAAGACCCTGACGCTGGGAAAGATTGAAGACAAGAGGAGATGGGGATGACAGAGAATGAGATGGTTGGATGGCATCATCAACTCAATGCACATGAGTTTCAATAAACTCCGGGAGTTGGAGATGGACAGGGAGGCCTGGTGTGCTGCAGTCCATGAGATTCCAAAGAGTCGGACATGACTGAGCAACTGAACTGAACTGAATTGACCTGATGTATGGATATGAGAGTTGGACCATAAAGAAGGCTGAGTGCTGAAGAATTGATGCTTTTGAACTATGGTGTTGGAGAAGACTCTGGAGAGTCCCTTGAACAGCAAGATCAAACCAGTCAGTCCTAAAGGAAATCAACCCTGAATATTCATTTGGAGGACTGATGCTGAAGCTGAAACTCTAATACTTTGGCCACTTGATGTGAATAGCTGACTCACTGGAAAAGATCCTGATATTGGGAAAGATTGAAGGCAGAAAGAGAAGGGGACAACAGAGCATGAGATAGTTGGATGGCATCACTGACTCAATGGACATGAGTTTGAGGAAATTTTGGCAGATAATGAAGCCTGGTGTGCTGCAGCCCATGGGGTCGAAAAGAGTCAGACACTATTGAGCCACTGAACAGCAACAACATCTGTGTTTAATAAGTGCTGCTTGTAGAGTATGAAAGTGAAAGTGAAAGTCACTCAGTCATGTCCGACTCTATAGTCCATGGGATTCTTGAGGCCAGAATACTGGAGAGGGTAGCTGTTCCCTTCTCCAAGGAATCTTCCCAACCCAGGTCTCCTACATTGCAGGCAGATTCTTTACCAACTGAACCACCAGGGAAGCCCACATAAACCAAGATAAAAGTAATTTCTATATCTGAATTCATACCTTTAGCTCATTTCATCTGCTGAAGGTGACAAGATGATTTAACACATTGACTGTCAGTATTTTCTATTTTTTAAAGGACATTATTATCCTAATTTCTCCAAGTCAGACAGGTAAAGAATTGTAGCACTAACAATTATAACTTCTGCATCAAACATAAGTCAAACAGCAAGTCCTAAAGTGTACCTGGGTTTCTGTTCATGAGCACAGAATGAGCTAAAAGAAATATGATTGTCTCACATTCCCATAAGCTCTCTGCTTGTAGCAAAAGACCTAGAACTAAATGTCAACTTGTGCGGTCTGGCACCCTAGGTCTGGCCAATTCCCTGAAGAGGTCTCCCACATTTCCATGCA